GGTTAAGACACTTTCTGGGCCGAGCGCTGCGGCTAGGATAGGCTAGGGGGCCGAGCGCTGCGGCCACGGTTTAGGTTAAGTTAAGACACTTCCTGTCAGACCCATGTACAAAATTGATAGGAGGGGGGGGGGTCCAAAAATTGTATACTAGGAAATTACCCATAGTTTTACTTGGAAGTTTTCCTCCTCCATCCCTCGTTAATTATTCAGAGTAAATTGTATATATTCCTAGTTTATCTCTCCCCTTTTCTTCGTATAGTCGATTTATCCTTTAAATAATAATTCCTGTTCCAGAAATATTTGATATATCTTTGTAGCTTATGGTTTAAGATTACTTTATTAGTGTACAAAGACTTTAAATATATTTAGGATACTCTGAAAACAAATACTGTTGATTCACCCAAAAATTTGTTCAATTCCTCAGTTAAACGAATAAAGGGTCTGTCCTAGTATACGATTTTTGGACCCTCCCCAGCCCCTTCCCTCCCCCCTCCTATCAATTTTGTACATGACCATTTATTTTTCAGCAAATTTATTATTATTTATTTTTTTGTTATTTAGGGTTAGGTTAGGTTAAGATACTTTCTGGGCCGAGCGCTGCGGCTAGGATGGGCTAGGGGGCCGAGCGCTGCGGCCACGGGTTAGGTTAGTTAAGACACTTTCTGGGCCGAGCGCTGCGGCTAGGATGGGCTAGGGGGCCGAACGCTGCGGCCACGGGTTAGGTTAAGTTAAGACACTTCCTGTCAGACCCATGTACAAAATTGATAGGAGGGGGGAGGGGGGGCTGGGGGGGTCCAAAAATCGTATACTAGGAATATACCCGAATAAAAGTGTAAACCATTGAAAAATTAAATAATTCTTTCCTCTAAAGGGAGTGACCGGCAATTTAAAGTAGTCAAACTGAGATTGTAGTATTGTGGAGAATTTTTTTAGATTTGTTTGATCCATAAAACATTTTAATGATGTATAATTACTGTGCTTGAGCGTAAAGTCAACGTTTATAACATCCATTTGGATGGGTATGTTTGGAGAATCGATTTTATGTTTTTGTTAAGAAATGACAATAAAGGTTTTTTGGACATTGTGTACAATTCGTCATTCGAGGCCGCAGCGCTCGGGCCCCTAGACTATCCCAACCGCGGCGCTCGTCCCCATACCCTATCTTAGCCGCAGTGCTCGGCCCTAAAATTGTCTTGTCCTAACCCTAAAGTAATGAAAAATAAATGTATAAAATTGACGAGGGGGGGGGTCCAAAATTTGTTTTCTAGTATGGACCCAAATTAGCTACAGATAATTAGATAACATAAAAACATATTTCTTAATTGAAATTGTCCCAATAAATCATTGTTAGAATGAAATATTTCTTATTCATTATTATATTGAATTTCTAATTCTTAATGAATTTGTTCGCGGATTTCTTCAAATTCTTGAAATTTTTGATCTTAAAAATTCCAGCAAATCTTCAGAAAATGTGTGTGAACAATGAGACATTACAGAAACCAATAGCTGAAAAAGATTACGGGGTCTGTCCTAGTGAACGATTTTTGGACCCCTGGCCGAGCGCTGCGGCCACGGGTTAGGTTAAGTTAAGACACTTCCTGTCTTAACTTAACACTTCCTGTCTTAACCGTTTTTGATGGTAATGGTTAATTTTTAATTTCTCACCCTGTTCTTAAACTATGATACGGAAACGCCTCTACACGGAAAGTGACTTCGTTTTCCGCTATATTTACATTTGATACGTTTCCCGTTTTTTATTGGTTTCTGCATTTTTTGTTCCGTTTCCGGTTTTCAGAAACAGTTTTAAATTCTCAGTTTGTTAAAAGACTTCCTCTTTTTTTCGATTCGTTTCGTCATTTTTGGGCCCGTTTCCGGTTTTCTGAAATAGTTTTGCATCTGAGTTTGTTGATTGATTTCCTCTTTTTTCGACCCGTTTCCTCATTTTTTTCACCCGTCTCACCACATTTTCTCTGTTATTGAATAATTTTTAAATACCGATTCTCAAAATCATAAATTTTTGACGAATTTTCAAGAGCGCAAATTCAACGTATAAACGTCTCATTAGTCTCAAATGATGCCTACAAAAATTCTCCATAATACTACATTCTCAGTTCAACTACCATACACTGTCGGTCACTCCCTTAAAATTATTTTTTTTGTTATCATAATTTTTCCCATTGAATATTTTTTGACAATCTAACAAAGTTTTAACTAAATTAAGGGGCTGTACTTGATTCACTTTTAATTTTTGGTTCCGTTTTCTTCATTTCCCGGTTGAAAGTGTAACTGGTTTTTGTACGACTCCGAAAGATACACAGGTGCAAGGAAAGTTATTTCAGAAGTATACACATCTTTTGTACTGCAGTTTACTGTCTCTGGGCGGTAATGTAAACACAAGACGGATGTCAAAGCCTGACATGGGATCCATCTTTCACATAAAAAAATCTGATATATTCTGGTCATAGGAAACTATTATGTGAATTATCCAAATTATCAAAATTTAATGCTTTTAACGTCCTCGGATACTAAACTGATGTATCTATTCTTGTTTACAAATTCCGCCCAAAGAGAACTGGTTTCAATGTGTACGCAGAGTATACAGTATACACGACCGCAATTAACTTTCCTTGCATTACACCCTTGCACAGGTGTATGAATTTTATTGTAAGATAATTTTTTCACTTAGTTATTCTGCTTATATCCCTGAATTTTTTATAATGTATGACCCTTTGTATAAACTGGGGGATTTGGCAAAAATAAGCGCGTTTTAGAGAGAAGAAAATCATTTTTGGGTCAAAATATTAAAAACTTTTCTTTTGATGTTTAATCATCAAAAAAATATCCCCTTCGACGAGCTGGGAAGGGGGGGGGGCTGATTCTTAAAAGTACTCACCCCTGTCCTAATTACAAACATTAAGATTCTGAATACGTTGGTAGGTTTATTTCGTTGAATTGGTTTTCTTATATCGCAAGTTTTGGTTTGTAGCTATGTTCTGTACAGGAGATTTCATTGTGTCTCAGAGTAATTTCAAGTGATCCTCATGCAGAAATCGCAATGCCTGATTCTCAACGGTGCATTTGAACTTTTTTCTGATAAAGTATGAATTATTTTTAAAAGTTACCTGAGCATTTCTACTGCAGACTAATATACACGATTTTATCTGAATTAAAAAGAAATTTAATGAAAAACGGCAATGATCAGAAAAATGTCACAAGGGTACTGTTGTAAATCGGACATTGCCATCTTTCCATGAAGGGTATCTTGAAATTACGCTTATGCACTATAAGATAATGGCTTTCAATTTTATCTTTATTTCAGGTTAGTTTATTATGTGAATTACTAACAGTGAAGAATAAACCCAATCAAGATGGGGACGGAGAAGTTTTGTCTCAAGTGGAATGACTTTGAAAGTAATATAAGTCTCGCATTCCGAGAAATCCGTGATGAAAAAGACTTTTTTGACGTAACTCTGGCATGTGATGATGATCAGCTTCAGGCCCACAAGGTGATACTGAGTGCCTGCAGTCCATTCTTTAGAAACATCCTGAAAAGAAATCCACACCAGCATCCGCTCTTGTACCTGAAAGGAGTCAAGTACTCTGATCTTCAATCAGTTTTAAACTTCATGTATCATGGTGAAGTTAATGTTGCTCAGGATGAACTCAACTCTTTCCTCGCAGTTGCTGAAGAACTCAGAGTCAAGGGTCTCACACAGAATAATGGATCTCAGAGTGCCAAAGGGCGCGAACCTGTTTCAAAATCTCCCCCTCCTATTAAATCTAATGCCCGCCCATCAGAACGTGACTCCGGTCCACCGCCAAAACGTCCCCGCCCTACCCCTCCCACACAGATTACCCCGCCTGACGATGATGATATCCAAGAGGTAGTTCCTGTGAAATCTGAACCTCGTGATTCTAGTGCTGTGATTTCTACACCCGGAGATATGTACCAACCCTCCTCCAACCAACAGTCCCTCGCACTGACAGAAGAGGACGACTACGGGCAGGACGAGAGCTACGACGACTACGGACAATACGGCGACGGATCTTACGACGGACAGATGATGGACCCTTCAATGGCTGGCGGCGCGGATGGAAATAAAGGTAGGCATCGATTTTTTATTCCAAAGAAATATTTTAAATAGCTTCCTCAATTTATTTTTAAACAATATGCCTGTTAAAAAATATTAGGTGATTAAAGCAAACTTAAAACTTTCCAAGTTGAAAATTCCCCTGTACAAGAACAGTTCCCCTCTTTTTAAGTAAGTTTTTTTTACCTCGAACAGATTCTAGTAAAGTAAAAAAAATTGGGTAAAGAAATTTTTTTTGAAAGGGTCTTTTAAAAAGTCAATTGGAAGCTATTTAATTATTTCTTCTTTTAGTAGTTGTATGTTCGTAAATTGTTGGGAGACCATCTTTATTTTTCAACAAAATTCAACCAACCATCAAGTTGGTTAAATTTTGTTTCCCTAACATTGATTCATCTTGTTGTCAAGTCTGAAACTGTGTTACTAGTATCTCTCGTATTTTCAGGAAACCAATTAAGGTGAGTGAACCAATGGTGTCCCAACAATATTTTAATTGCTCACTCATAAACTAACTAATCAACGCGCATTCCAAAGTTTAATTATTTTGGAATGTTGCTGAATTCAAATAACAGACCTAAACCTATGGTTTCACCCTGGTTGGTTTCCGTCGCTGCTACACTACTGCTAAAAATGAAAATTGATGAAATAATCGCCTTTTCATTTTTAATCGTCACGCAGCACACGCTGCCATTTGTTATATATTTTAGGATTTCGTTTTGGAGAGGAGTCTGAACTTGTACTTTCTTTTTTCTCTTAAAATTTCATAATCTTTTTAATGTTTTATTTGGTTACATTTTTTTTTTGATGAGATTCATGAAGTAGATAATTGTTTGATGCCTACCCTTGTATTTCAGGGCGTCCCCTCGAGTCTTACATAGGCAGAACTGATTCAGATTTTCAGTGTTTAGTTTGTGGCAAAACAGGGGCAAGAAAAGACGGGATAGTTAGGCATTTGGAAAACAATCATTTCCCCGGAAATCATCCCTGCTCGTTCTGTTCAAAAACATTTAATTCTATAAACTCCCTGCAGGCACACGAGTCTAGAAATCATAAAAAAACTGGTTTTCAAATTGAAAATTCTTCTTTTTAAGAAATATATATTTTTCAGGGGATTCTCGAGCAATGCTGAATCAATATATTGAAAAGATAGATGTTTCCGGCTCCGCTAAATTTAAGTGCACTTTGTGTGGTAAACTAAATGGACAGAAAGCACATACTGAAAATCACATTGAGAGTATTCATTTCCCCGGCACCTTTGTGTACAATTGTAAATACTGTGGATTGCGTGTGGCCGGGAGGAATAAGCTATACATGCATGTAAACCAAAGTCATAAGATGAATTAAAATGTTTCAGGACCGGAGGATCTGCAGATCTATGTTGTGGAAAACACTGATACTGGATCCAAACATAAGTTCATGTGTGGTATATGTCAACAAACAGGGCTTAACCGAAGAGATGTTCGGAATCATGTAGAATCTCGTCATTTCCCGGATGCGTTTACCTACACCTGTGAACTGTGCAGTAGGGTTATGAAGACTAAGAAAGCCTTAAATAATCATAAGTACACTAAACATAGAGCTGAATTCGATCTTCTCTTCCCGGCTCTGAACTAAGTTTTTTATTGTTGGCGACCCTGTATCTATCCTTGTTATAGATTTGTGATAAATGGAATAAATTGTTTTAGGAGGTTTTGATCCTGTAGTCCCAGCTGATCTGCTTGCTTTAGTCGTCAGCAATCCTGATCCTGAAAGCCGATACAAGTTCATGTGTCAGATTTGCCTAAAAACTGCTGCCAAGTCCAGTGATGCTCGAGATCATGTAGAAAACGCGCATTATCCCAACAAATTTCTTTATGACTGTGATTTTTGTCCCCTGCAACTGAAGTCTAAGTTTGCTTTGAAGAATCATAAACATTACAACCACAGGCCTGGGGCTTCGAGGGTTGTCAGTTCCCTAAAATCCGACCAGTTTAATGCTTTCTCATAAACAGACGTATTATTTATTTTATTTTGACCATAAAAGGTCGCCAGTTTAAAAGCTTGCATACTTCATATAAATATATAATTTGTTAAAGTTTGATTCGTAAATTTTTCAGGACTGATAAACGAGCCTGCTGACTTGTATATATTTGTCGTGGATAACCCAGACAAGGCGGATAAAAATAAGTTCATGTGCAAAATTTGTTGTAAAACATCTACCCGGAAAGATGCAAGGGACCATGTTGAAAATGCGCATTTTCCAAATAGTTTTATTTATCATTGTGAATTTTGTAATGAAAAGTTGAAATCGAAAACCTCTCTAAAGAACCACAAAACAAAGTATCATCGATCTTAATTCTTATGGCAATATTAAACTTTAAGATTCAATTCTATTTATATTGACCCGTGTTATTTTTTAGGTGACTTAAATCTAGAGAATCCGTCAGATCTTTACCGTTACATTGCATACAATCCTGATAGTGAGGACCGAAGACGGTTTTTATGTACTATTTGTCAGAAAACTAGCGCTCGAAATGACGATCTGCGTGATCACATTGAAAATGTCCATTTCCCCAATGTATTTCCCTATACTTGCACTCTATGCGATACTAAGGTTAAATCAAAAGTAATGCTGAAAACGCATTTGAGAACTTGTCGAAATGTAATAAATAATTAGTTTTTATCAAATGATAACAAAAATGCGCATTTTCTTTGATCTTCATTTTTTTCTTTCAATTATGCTAAAATCTAAGTTGAACTAACATTAAGCAACTTCGGCGAATTTTTAAATGTTACTTTTTTTTAGGTTTAATGAAAGATCCATCCGAGCTTCACAAATTTACGAAGGAAACTTTTGACGAGCTCAAAGGTTTAGTGTTTGAATGTTCACTTTGCGGACAGATATGTACCAGAAAAGAAAATCTGCGAGATCATATTGAAAATGCGCATTTTCCCGATCTATTTGTTTACACTTGTGATGTTTGTCATATATCGCTAAGATCCAGGATAGCACTGAAAAATCATAAAATTAAACATAGAAAATAAACATTTTACTGTCGTTCAAATTCTGTTTTTTTAAACTTGGATTTAACTAAATATTTTCCCATTTTAGGTTCTATAGAGCATCCGTCTGATTTGCTTGCCTTTGTGACGGCCAACCCTAACGAAATGGACAAAAATAAGTTTATGTGCAAGATTTGTGGAAAAACATCAGTGCGAAGCGCCCATGTTCGAAATCACGTCGAGAACATTCATTTTCCAAACAACTTCATTTATAACTGTCATCTCTGTTCAGAATCTCTAAAATCTCAAGTAGCGTTACAAAATCATATCGCTAAACATCCTAAGCCGTGTGTTTAATCTCCTCAAATAAATCCAAATAAGAATATTTATGTTAAAATTGATATTTCAGATCCAACGGAATTGCTAGTTTACGTGGTAAACAATCTGAATACGGGAGACAAAAATAAGTTTATGTGCAAGATCTGTGGGAAATCAGCTTCTAGGGTCAAGGATGTGAGAGATCACGTTGAGAACATTCATTTTCCAAACGTGTTTACCTATCAGTGTGATGTGTGTGCAGAACTACTAAAGTCTAAAGTTGCTTTGAAAAATCACAAAATAACCCACCGTCCGCCTAAACTGTAAATTAATTACGATAAATTTGAAATTTTAAGTTTGCTCTATGTTTAGGTATAATTGAAGATCCCGCAGATTTGCTTGATTATGTCACGGAGAATTCAGATGTGGGAAGTAGCATGAAGTACTTGTGTACAATATGCGGGAAAGGTGCTATGTACAGAAAGGATGCTAGAAACCATGTTGAAAACATACATTTCCCCAACACGTTCTCATATCAGTGCGATATCTGCAATATAAAACTTAAATCTAAAACCGCGTTGCATAATCATAATGCAAAAAATCACAAATACTCAACTTAGCTTTGTTGATTCTTATTGTTTGTCAAAAATGTTAAATATATTCTGTTATAAACCCTAACTTTGTCCTCTTTATAGGTTTAGAGCGGTCTCCTGATGAACTTTACAGCTATGTTGTGACAAAAGATAATTTAGATGACAAACATAAACATTTGTGCAGTATTTGTGGTAAAACTGGGATGCATAGGGCCGATGTTAGAAACCATGTTGAAAATATTCATTTTCCCGGAGTTTTCAGTTATTCTTGTGCACTATGCCCTACCATACTCAAGTCTAAAACTGCTTTAGTTAACCACAAAGCGCTCAAGCATAAGAATATGGAATTCAGATAATTGTCCATTAGTTTTTCTTGATGTATTCTTATGATTTTTTGTTTTCAAATATTTCCTCGTTTTTAGGCCCAGACCTGGACGTGTTTATTCTCCGACGGGAGGGAGAAATACGGAAATATGTTTGTTCAATCTGCTCTTCATTTTCACACAAGTCTAGGAGTAATGTCCGAAATCATATTGAATCTATTCACTACCCAGGAAGTTGTCTTTATTCCTGTCAAATATGTGGCACTGTGGTGAAAACTAAACGCGCGTTAGAAGTTCATCGGAGCGCACATCATAAGAATTAATTAGTGTTTTAATAAATACATAATTATACATTTTTTAGCTTTTTTAAATCATAACTATTTTTTAAATATTTGACATATTTAGGATTTTCGTTAAGAGACCCGTCTGAACTTGATAATTACTTGCTTCGATTGTCATCGTCCCTCTACGTTTGTGGTATCTGTTCCCAGTTTAAACATCAGGCTAAATCTAATGTTAGAAATCATGTTGAATCAAAACATTTCCCCAACAGCTTTAGTTACTCTTGTGAAGTGTGTGGAACTGTCTCTACTACTAAGCAAGCTCACCAGTCACATAAATCTAAGAAGTGTATGAAATTTTAGCCGACTACTTAATGTTTACAATATTAACATTCTAGGACTGACGGCAGATGGACGGCGGAGACTCGAGACCATGGCGGATTTTGACGAATATCTGGTTCGCGAGGCGGAGTTTATTGTGTGCAACATCTGCCGTGTGTACAGAAACAAGACTATCAC